AGCCTCCAGCAGGTACCACCCATTTCACCCAGTCCTCATGGGGCTTTTTGCTGTCCTGCATGGACCACTGCCTCAGCTGCTCAGCATGAAAATTCCTGGTGGTCATTGTGACCCTGGGTGGCAGTGGGAAGACTTCCTCCCCAGCAGGAGCCAGGAGTAGCCCGGGAAGTTTTAATGCCAGGGTACCAGGAGGCTGCATTATCCAGACAAAGCTTGGGGAATGAAAAGGAGGAGGAAGACCCACAGCCAGAATCAGAGCCTCCTCCTCATTTCCCATTTTCAGTATGTGTTTGTTCAGTGATCCTGCTCTCAGATCAGGGGTGTAGGCTCTTGCTGTAAGTGCCATACAGCCGGACTTCTGAGGTTTTTAACTAAGTAATTAGTTTGCAACAGAACAATGGGATTCAAAGGCAACTGCTCACACTTCTGCATCCTTAGCTGGCTGCAAAGCTTCCAGTTCCTGCCTAGCAGTGCTAAACAAAGCACCCACAGCTGACACCTCTGTGAGAAACCCTATCAAGGGCCCCTTGCCATTCTCTGCTCTGCATTTGAGTGTCCTGTCACCTCTGAAACTCAGCTCACAGCCTTTCCCAATTCAACCGATCCTCAGACACCTTATCCCCATCCCACAGAGSRGTTTTCACAAGTATCTTGCCTTTTGCACTGATTTTCCACTGCCTTCTCCCAAGCTTCCATGACCTGTTTATCACAGATCCACACTTCTGACACCAGTTAATGCCACAACCCAGARGGATTACTTGGCTTGTGAGTATGCAAAGATTGCAGCTGTTTRCAACTTTGCCTGACTCTGTCATGCACAAAGACAGAGCATTTATTACCTATGTTCTCTTATTCATTACAGTTTACTACTATCAAGGCAAGTATAGTTACAGTTGGCAAAACAAGTGTATCTACTCTACAAGTTACTACAAATTACTGCCAGAAAGCAAACACGCGTTTCCACAGCAGCTGCAATCAATACCAGCATCAAGTCAGTATTTTAGTATCACAAATTACTGCAGAATTACCACTAGCAAAGCAGCACATACACTTACCAGCATGCATATATATAAAAATGTATATATTTATCTATTTTAAGATATAACATTTTACATATTTAAAATTAATTTATTATTAAATTATATATATATTTCATATTAATACACCTATATTACAAAATGTTACCTGTACCAAGTGCTCACCAAAATGATCCCAGCAGGGCAAGGAAACAAACCTGTTCCAGAAATGGGGCCAATTGATGGTCGATGAAGTTTCATGAGGATGATGACCCACATGGTGGAGCCTGGAGGCAGCCTGGGGTTCCTGGAAGGGTTAGCTCTGCTAAAGAAATCACTCAGACAAAAGGGGTTTGTGTGCAGCCAAGGAACCCCATTTTGGGTAAAAAGTAAGTCCTTTTTACAGTACAGACATAAAGGGGCATCAGCCACCACCACCTGACACAGCCAATAGATGCTGCCAATTTATATTTTTTACCTGGCATAGCCAATAACTGGTGATGTTTTGTATTCTCTCAGATAAAATCGTGCTTTATGAGACTTTTTTCTCCTTGTTTATGAGTTAGAAAAGCCAGTGGCAGTTACCAACTCTTCCTTTCTCAGGATGTTTTCTTCCTTTTCCAGACTTGTTTTTTTTTTTTTTTTTTTTTTTTTTTTTTTTTTTTTTTTTTTACCTTCCCAGACGATGAGTTGATGTACAGCTACTTGGTTTTGCACTTATCAATGGTATCTGGGGATATCTCTGGTTTCTCAGTATCCAGCTGCACTTCTCAAGGATGCCTCTGGTTCCCAAGGCCTGGTTCCCAGCCTGGCAGGAATTTTCTCTCTTAGTATTTGTTCAATTTGTTCCCCCTTACAACCAGCTCCCCTTTACGATGCTATCATCAGCCTAAACCWGCACACCTTAACAAAGCAGAAAGGATCAGCTGCAGGAAACACTACAGAACTTCTCTCTCGAAATAGTCCTGTCTGTGAAAGTATCTTCTGCCAGCTGCTATCACAGCCTGACTGTGGCTCRCATCAGCTTATGAGAAAATGTTCAGAGGGGCACATGGGTCGTGCAGGAACAGAGAACCAAGACTGAGGACAAAGCCAACTCAGACACAGACAATGTGTCTTCCAGCCTGCAAATGCCTGCCAGAGGAGTTGGAGGAAAACCTGAAGCTGGAGAAATCCCCAGGCACCATTTTAATTTCCTGCAGCGTTCGAACTTGGAAGCTGTACTTGTCACTGTGGTGCAGACTGACCAAGAACCACCAGCGTGATTACAAACAAACAAAACATCCAGCGTGTCTAGCCCACAGCCCAATCACAAACYTTCCAAAACAGACCATTCTCTGAGACAGTGACCTCCAAAAATCAGATCTGGAAACAAGCTTCCTCTGGGTGTTTCACATTCCTTTGGTGTTATTCCCTAAATGCAATGTTTGTGTCTCTTACTAAAAAAATCCACAGCAACAGGCTTTCCACATAAAGGRAAGTGATTCAGTTATTTTTCTGGGATTAAGTCTCAAATTCTCATAAACTAGGCTATGGAAACTATAATATGACCWGTCAGTTAACCAATAATATAGCAATGTTGATACTGTGGCATACAAATAATACTTTTAAGGACAAAAGTTTTAACTKGGCTGGTTTTAATTCAGCACTGTGTTTATCAAGATTCTGCAAGAATTTTAAGTCTGAGTAAAGCACTGTACTTTTGCAGTTATACTGATTTAAGTGTCTGGCTGGGTTCTCTTGACACAGCACTCATGAGTTCTCTAGACACAAACACCCAGACCTCCGARACACAGAGTGAGCTTTACACACAAATATCAAAAGCTGTGTAACAATTCTTTAGCGGTTCTATCTTGTGCTGGTCTCTCACACAGYCTTCAGGAATTGCTGCTCAGAAATAGCAGCAAGTCCTGCAGCTTTCTGCTGCAAGCACTGGCAATGCTTGGTCACAGTCTTWCTTCACTATGAAAAGAATAATTTCCTTTCATTCTGTTATAAACCATACTCCAGAGTGGGTAAGGATTACTATATCAATACCTACTTGCCAGATAATATTAAACCCAGAAATTAAAATAAATGATATTTTAATATATGCCTCTACCACAGGCTCAATCAGMTGGCAGAATGAACTGCAAGAGTTTCAGATTCATACATTATGATGCAAATGAGTTTTGTAAATCGTGACCTAGTTCCCATGTTAGGAACAGTTGGGACCAACAGCAGGGACTGTGCGATGAATGTGAGCAGCAGGGGCAAGCAAGGAAATTACCATTTGTTCTTAATTTGAAATGGATTTTTAATCACTTTCAGGTGCCTCAAAGGAAGTGCACGCACTTGTTTACTATAATCATTCTGRCAGAAGAATGCATATAGGAGGTAAYACGTTTTTGTTTTGCTAATTGAAATGTTTGTGGCACTGGTGTCACACGAAGTGCCAGCGCACRGCTCTTTCTGGAGCGCACAAAGGAGGACTGTGAAATGAAGTTTCCCAATTGATCCGTTCCTCAGAACTTGCTTTGTAAAGAAAGTGAGTTGCACGTACCCTCTAAAAGTGACGGGATATTAGATCACATTCATCTTTCCAAATCCAGTGGCTATTTTTTCAGCKAGAGGCCTGATAAACTCGCTCTCCAAAGAGCCTGCTCAGGGATTTAGCTCCACGGCTGTCAGMCACATGCTTAAACACGGTTCAGCAGAGTCAGTGGAAAATACAGAACTCATTAAATTCTGCTTGTGCTGTAACAGCAAGCCCACAACAACAGACAGCACTGAGCTTCAGAATGAAGCAGATTTCTGATAAACTATTGCTTTAAATGAGTCTTAAAATCCTGTTTTAAATGTTTGAATGACATTTAAATGTTTTAAATACACCCACCAGCAAGGGTGTAACTTGTTAAAAACCAGACAGACTTTAATTCTAAGGWTTAGGTGGAGTTTGTATCATCGTTCGAAACTATTGGAAGCTGTAAAAATGCCAGAGCATAAATGCTCCCCAAAAATAGAGTCTCAGCTCCCTCTGGTGGAAAAGATCATTTTCTGCAAGAAGGTTTAAGTGAGAGTCTTGTTTCTGCTACAGGCCTCAAGGCTATGAAATACCGAGACAGCAAACACACCCTCTGTTCACTTGGAAGGACTGTAACTTCGTAGAAGTTCATGTGAAATATCCCATTTCCCAACTGACTGTTGCAGGGTGTTCTAACACGATACCTCATAATCAATGAGTTACACCTTCCACAGGGTGGAATTCTCCTGGTGTGAATTATGGTATGTAAGCCTATCAACCAATTGGTAACCCAAGGAAAACAGCACATACACASAGTTCTACCGTTCTCTCCACAATAACATCTTAAGCCCCACAAGCAGCTGAGTCATGACAGAGAGCACTGTGTCACTAACACACAAGGCAAAGCCCTTGGATCCCAACCTGCATCCCTTAGACACCCTGCACAGATTAAACCAATAAAAACCAGGCTCCTCTAACCTACTTTGAAAGATTTGGTGAAGAGCCCAGCATTAACRACAAAAACCTCACTAAATACAGTCGTTCCTAGCCTACAGGTAAGTGTGTTAACAAAATTCACTGTGTGCTCTGGAATAGCAGCAGTTCAGAACCGCTTGGTTTTGACTTCTTGATCAACAAAATTTTCATTGCTATTTGCACCACATGCATGGTAGACACACTTAAGGCTGTTCCAGACTTTAAAATCAAAACTGATCCTAAAAGATATTTCTTCTTCTCCTTATTCACCATGGAGAGTTGAAAGCAAATTCTGGAAGTATTCCAGCTATTGTCACAAAAAGTCTAATAAAGTGTAGTTTTGTTTCATGCTAGGGCCATCAACAGCTCCCCAGTAATTAAGCACACAACTAATTGTTCTGACAAATTGTTTAAGATGAATAATTCCTGCAGTCACAGACATAGCAGAAAGACTTCTTATGATACTTCTGCCACAGAACAAAGACATATAGAGCCAGTGAAAGAAAAACAGTAGAAAAAAGTATTTATTAAACATAATTCGATTTCAGAGTGTGGCATTAAAACCTGCAATTGCTCCTTGGAAACAGGAGAGCTGAATAAATCTGTGAAGGTGGGGCGGCACAKTAGGGGTGCAGGTAAGGTTTATTAAAACCATACTTAAAAGCCATTTCCATATCAGCCAGAAAAAAATTTGAGGGTGGAGAAAAGACAAAAAGGCAACAACAGCCAACACAATACCCTTGGAGTGTTTTGTGCATCATATTTCAAACAAGAAAGTCAACTAAGGTTAAAAAATGGGCATGGAGTTTTGGGTTCTTATACTCAAATACTAAAAAACAATGGCAAGTACAATTTGATCTCTGTGTGTACAATTGAAACAATTTTTTTAACAGATTTTTCTCCAAAAGGGCGGTTTTCTATGGGTTGAAATGTCCACGTTGAAGCTCCATCAGCTTTGCTCATGGATTAGGACAGTGTCTGGTTTTCAGTTCTCTGCAGGAACACCAAGTCTGCTCACGTAGCTCTCCCAAGCTGCCTTCCTGTATCTCTCTGCTTCTTGGAGAYGGTCTGAAACTGCCAAGATGCCACGTCCCACAATAATGATATCTGAGCCTTTTTCACTAATAACTTCCTTGGGGCTTAGGTACTTCTGTCCAAGGTTATCACCTGAAATAGAGACACCATTTAAAAAAATTGTACAAAACTGTATTTACTAAAAACCTTCAGAGGAGTGCTGGAACATAGAGCCTGTTTCAGCTCTCATCCTAACAATCCACAAACAGAACTAGAAACTGTGTTACCAACTGACAAACCAACCAATACAGATCAGATTTGACAGCCAGCACCCTCCTTTTTCATAGTTTACTAAACAAAATACATGGAACAGTTATTCAAAGAAGCACCAAMAGGATTATTGAAATAAGGCTCAGCCTTCTAAACAGGTAAAACTCCCAAACATTAATCTAAAAGCTTGTAATTTCAGTTTAGGTCTCATAAGAATTAAGTATTGCAGAGACACGTATCTCCCCTATCTGCTTCAGTGATAATCTCTTTAATCAGCACARKATGTTCAATTYATTGATACTGCATTTATATCAAYAYCAAGTGTTTCAGCTGGAYTTCTGTATTTGTTCCARTTTTTTTTTYACTCCTACTGAATAGTTTTACATCTAATCTAACACCTATGTGAAGACATTTCACATGTTTTCAGGAATGTGCTTTATTGTATGCACAGACCTAAAAACCAGAAAAAAATCAAGAAAAAAAAGCTGTGCAGCAGCCTGCTGGTTGCCTTTCAGAGGTCCCAGGAAAGGGATCAGCATATCCAGAAATAGAGAAGGCAGCCCTTAGTGGGAAACAGACTCCTCCAAGCTGAGAATCAGCATCCAAACCCTCTTCAGAAGCTACTTTTTCACTGAAGACTACATCACTTCTGTACTCATAGACTAMAAATCTTTTAAGAAAAGGTTACCTCCAGTTTGCAGCTGCACTCCTGGGGTTAAGTGAAGAAATTCTGGTTTATTACTAACTCTAGATCCAGATATGAATCCAAAAATGAAATCTGAGTTGTCCTCAGCCATCTGTACCTGAAAAAGATCAGTGAACAGTTACAAATGATATAGTTAAAACTCAGCTGGCCTAGCAATCTGTTTCTCATCCACCCTCTGACACATTAAGCTTTGTGAGGCAGGGCTATAAAACACCTCTTGCTTTCCCAATGTAAAGTCACTCCTTCCCTTTAGCAGGAAAGTCAGTGTTATGCTACTTTCTATGTTATAAATAACACCGTGAATGAATTGAAACTAACTAGAAATGTGTTGCCTAAAGAAAAAAAGGAAAAAAAAAAGGAGGGTGCTAATATCAAACTTGGCATGTGTACTAAAATTTCAAGTGTGAACTCTGACCCCAACTCACATCACTGGTCTACAGCTGCAACCTTTGAACATCACACTGTCATATTCCTGAGTCTCCAAGGAAAAAACAAACACCTCTAACAGTCAGAGCRGGAGGGACTTTTGGAAGTGCAAATACCAGAAACACGTAAAACCTCCCTGTCACGCTTTACAAGCTTTTAACCTGAAACAAGACTGCCCACTTACTGCAGCTTTTGTGTATTCACCCGTTGCAAGGGACCCTTGGGAACTCATCTCAGCAATCAGGAGRCAGCCACGCTGGAGAGGAAGACCTACTTCCTTCAGACCTTTGACAACTCCAGAGCCTGGGACCACGTGGGCATTGATGATGTCYGCCCAGGATGCGATTCTGAACACACCACCTGAGAACATGGACAGGAAAACACAGGCCAAGAGTCATCAGRAAAGTGTTAAACAGGAAGCACAAGTTAAACAAAAACAGCTGCACACTAAATGACTCACCTATTAAAAGACAGTTTTATTGCTGAAGCTTGACAGTTACGACTTCAGTCTCATCAGAGTTCTGACAGCTGCCTAACCACAAAGTGCAATGTCTCAGTTTACTTTTTACAAACTTGTGATACTCTTGTAAAGTATCTCACCTTTAATATTTACTGAGACATTTATGGTAGCCCAGAGATCCACTGTCACAGGTGCTATCTTCCCAGACAGCGTGCAGATCATGTGGGATGTAAGGATTAGGAAAAGAGAAAAGCAKTTCTACAGCTGCAGATGGAGTATCRAARGAAAGCCATGCTGGGCACACAAGCAATACAGTAATAGCAGGCTGCCTTAAGAAACCAGGCTGCAGTCACTCATGGCACACAACTACTCAGAAGTACTTACTGAGCACAACCACAGATTCATGAAAAGGTTTGGGTTGGAAGGGACCTCAGCAGGTCATTGCTTCTCAGCAAGGTTAACTTCAAAGCTAGGTGAGGTTGCTCAGGGTCTTATCCCCGTGAATATTTCCCCAGGCTGGAGATTCCACGCTCTCTCCTGGCAACCTGTGCCAGCACTGCATTTAMACTCACTGGCAGCAAAGTTACAGTAAATGGAGGTTGACGATAATCACCTTCATACTGATGTTTCACTGTGTTTCCAATATCTGCAAATTTCCTATCTTCAAAGATCAAGAATTCATGTTGATCTGCCAGCGTTCTCAACTCCTTTACCACCTCCTGGGTGAAATCATTCAGGATGTCTATATGAGTCTTCAGGATACAAATGCTGGGGCCCAGGGTGGCAGCTAGCTGCAGCAGCTCCTTGGAGCTGGTGACATCAGCAGAAAGGCACAAGTTTGTTTGCTTCTTTTCCATGAGCGTGAAAAGCCTGGCTGCAATGGGATGCACCCCTGGCAGCTGCGCACGAGCACTAAAGCTCAGCTCCTTACGGAGTCTCTTCACAGGAGCAGCACCGTTCTGAGCCTCAAACACACTTCCCTGAATGAAATTCTTCACCTTCTCAACCATCTCAGCAGCCACTTCTCCCTGCTGSTGGAGAATCTCCAGCACTCCGCTCAAGGTGCACACAGAGTGCAGACGAATTCCATGTTGCTCCAGCCTGGCCTTCCCGCCCTGCTCCCTGTCCAACAGSACTATGGCATCTGTGACCTTTAGTCCTTCTTTCTGAAGAACTTCTGCAGTTTCCAGTACACTGGATCCACTTGTTACCACATCTTCGATGATCARGCATGTGTCTCCTGGATTAATGGTGCCTTCTACCATCCGCTTAGTACCTGAAAAATAAAAAAAAAACTCCACCAAATTAATAAAGTTTAGAAAACCCCAAAAAAAACCTTAGCATATCAAAACTTTATTATGTGATACCAYCTTATTACAGCTCTTACCACAGCTCACTCCCATCTCAATTCATAAAGACTGTTACTTCTCCAAGCTAATGAAATAATACTTTTTTTCCAGAAGTTATGTTCCATTAGCTAAACTAACACACCGTTAACAACACAAATTCAAATGTTTGAATAAGGTCACTTCAGAAGTTTTACTGTCATGGACTGAAGGCTCAGAATTACAAAACTACTTTCTCATTATTTAAAACATCTTTAAGGTAGTCAAGATACTGGCACTCTTCAGCATTTTCCACAGGCAGCATTCTGTRCTTAATAAGCCTGTAAGAACAATTAGAAGGAGTAAAGCCTCAAGTGCCTTTGTCCTAACTAACAACAGGCACACATCCATGAAAGGCCTCCTGGGGGGCAACCACAAAGGATGCCTGGCTTTCCCAGGAGCAGTTAATCGCTGTCACAACCGGCTTGTGCTTCACAAGAAGGAACAGCAAATGTTTCCATGCCTGGCCCACTGCCTGACACAGGAGCAGCATTTAGTTTTGACAAGTGTACTTTCTAATTACCCGCTGCTGGAAGAAGATGCATAGAAATCCAGTTATATGGCAGGTTAATGCTTTAGGCTGCCCTCCCTCTTCCTTTATCAAATAAATGGTTCATTGAGTAGAGAAGGGACTGCTGCTCACCGGGGTCACTGATTACAGGACCATAGGATAATGAAAGAAAAAACATGTTTGAGAGATAAATGAAAAAGAGACTAGAAAGAACTTCCTTTTGGAGCCAATATGCAAAAAGTTCTGTTTGAGAGTGAAATGTGGCTCTGGTCTCAGCACGCTGAAGAATCTGATTTATAAATCCTTATTTCTGGATGAGACTGCTAACACAGAACCATAGCAAGAGTAACAAGAGGAAAAAAAAAAAAAA